GGGACCATACCATGGGGGGGGGAGGGGGGGGGGGAGCCCGCCGGGGCGTGACCATATATATGTATATATATATAGAGAGATTTTGTTCAGTTATTCATTTATTTGATGCAGGAATGGGTGACTTGGTGCCCTGGACAGATTAACCACACCTCGTTGAATATCAACAGATATAAATGATCTGATATTTCCTGGGCCCCTTAGAGCCCCCGAAGATAATTAGACTGATTCGGTTCAGTTGCTAAATAAAACTGTGGGGTCCTGGCCGCTGGCTTCATGTGAGCTATAGTTTCACATCCCGGCATTCCCTTTAATAACCCTTAGAATACTGCCCTATATAATCCGCTTTAAGTAGTTTAGACTATAGCTCACGTGGTTAAGTAATCATGTGGACATACTGGGTTAAGTGGATTCGGACTCAAGCCCACATATCTAACTAATCAAATTATCGAATGACTAGCGTACTTAGATTATCTGAAGTCCGGCTCAAGGCACGCAATTTAATTAATGTATCTTAACGGATAAGGGATTAGGATGACCCTTTGTTTAATCAAGGTACAAAGTTGTTTCCCCTAACCCTAAGCCCTTATAACCCTAAACCCTAAATTGTTTCCGTCTCCTTGATTTAATTCATCAGACGGGCTGCGTTCACTAAATTGATTTGCTTCGTGCCTGGGCCCAATCAAACTAATCAAACAAATACACGAATCAGACACCCTAAACCCTAAACCCTAAAAACTAAACCCTAAACCCTAAACTTTGACTCAGACTTGGGCCCCCGAATCTTCTTCAGCAAGTTGATAACATTCATCGAAAGCACATGAATGAAACGACTAGATCCCGTCATTTGATGATTCTAATAACTTACACTGTCAGCAAAAAGTAGATCAGTGCAATGTTAGGCCTATCTAGTCACAGTCGATTAGTTTGAAACTTTCGAACCGTAATTGATCGAGTACGAGATTGCTTTGAAGTTAATTTAATTCACTAAATCGAGTACTCAAAAAAACATCGTCCTGGCAGTCTGCTTAGTTTGATTACTTGCACAGATTGTCATACCTAGATTAGTTCGGTTCAGGCGGCGGCCTTCTAGTCTAATGAGCCAAACTATTTGAACAGTTAGATTGAGTCGATAAACTTATGTTCAGATTCGGGCCCCCAATCTAGTTAATGAAACTAGTACAAGTAATCTAGACCATTTGTGAATCACATCTTAGACCTCGCAGTTCGCGTACTCAAATTAAATGGACTAACTCCATCATGTACTTGACCTTTCTCTTGAAGGTTCGTTTACGATTGGGATGCGGCCTGGTAACATTAAGGAAGGGACGGCCATATTCCAAGTTTTGAAAACCCTGACCCCAGAACACAGTAAAAAAAAAAAGAAGAAAAAAGTTTCCGCGTGCCCTAACACCAAAAAAGTAGAAAAAACATAAGCTTCCGTATGCGCTTTTCCCTCCGACTAGAATCCACACAACCACTGTCATGCAGGCGTTGAGAAATCATGACAAAAGCTCTGGTACGCGTTGCAAAAGTTGGCTTACCACCGTCCGCAACAAATCCCGAGCTCGGAGGGGTGTACCCGGCCTAAACCTCAAACCCCTAACCCCGAACCCTAAACCCTCAGCCCTAAACCCCTAACCCTTAACCCGACACCTTAAGCCCTAAACCCCAATGCACGAGGTCTGGGTGGTTCGGAGAAAGAGGTTAAGAAAAGCCGCGACCTCCAGGGCCACCATGTTTCTAGAGTTTTGGCTGGATGTTTGCGCTGGCTCTTTAGGAGGCAGAATACATACAGCAAGGGCCCCAAAAAGTCGGAACAAGCAAGAAGATCCCTCATGCTGTCTTACCAGCCTCCATGCATCAGAAATGGTGGTGGCATCGTATCTCTCCACCTGTTGGGCAAACGACGGCCACCGAGTAAGGGTTTAGGGTGTAGGGTTGAGGTTGTATTTAGGGGGATCCTGGGGTTTGAAATGGGTTATGGAACCTACTCATAAAAGGATACGGTGGGTTCTAATGGATTCCTCAAAGTAAGACGTACTGAAAGCCCTGATTTGGTGGGTTCTATGGGGCATTTCAGTGTATATGCATCGGGGTTTGATTGATACTAAAGGTGCTAGTCGGAGGAAGGCGGAATGCGAAACACGCGCGCAACCCCAGGTAGGAAATCAATAGTAGCTTCCATAACACGGGGGACACCATATAGATTACAATATGTTATAACTTTGGATAGGGACCCCTGGAAAGAGACCGCTACTTACTGGAAATCCCCAAATCACTGTAGACCAGGATGTTGGCTAAACTTCAGCGGAATCCTGCTTAGGTAACAGCTAGCTGACGGGTTAATTGAAAAACCATGGTTATCCATGTACGAAAACTTCTGTTGGGTTTCCAAAATAAGGGGTCCTGCCCGGCGACACTACTTTCTGGAAACTCCCATGTATGGGTTGGTGGATGATGCGCCCTTTTGACAAACTCCCGGGCAAGGACCTGGAGATTCTTCCATACGCGCTCCCGTCGCTAATGAGGACGTCCTAATCATTTTGCCCAGGTGAACCCTGAACCTGTAGGGCTTGGGGTTTAGGGGTTACGGTTTGGGGGGGGTTTAGGGCGTAGGGTTTAGGATCAGGATATCCAAGCCGTAAACAAACTACAGCCAGCCATTAAAGGAAAGGCTTGTTGAGAGTCCGGGGGGCCTACTTGCCTCATACTGGGCCCTAAACCCTAAACCACGTCCTACCGTGCGTTCTGAAGTTGCGCACCAAGGCGTCAAAGTGCCCTAAACGAATGCTATGTGGGCAGTCAAAACTATGGGACCTTTTTGGGTACCCTATATGTTGTTTGCGGCCATATTACTGAAAACCGTAACAAACCATCATAATTGCGACACCCTTTCATAGAAGTAGACTTTAGAAGCCACTATGTAACCCGAGATTTGATTTCATGTTTCATTGTCTTTTCCATTTGGTTCTGCATTATTGAGGCATACTTTCGAGAGCCCACCATGTGGTCAGAATCCCTAAAGCCTAAGCCTGCTTTCGGAAGGATGGTCTTCCCTGGCTATTCAGGCTTCTACCTTACCATCAGCGGCCCCCACTCGGCCTTACCCCAAAGGCATAAGTTACGATCATTAGCAGAAGGACTGGCAGAAAGGGATACAGTCGTTCCCGTCCTTGGTACGAATATGTCTCAGCCAGCATCTGTGAAACATGACAATAACAAATCGTTTAACCCTTGAACCCTAAACTCTGAACCTAAGACTCCCAACCACGAAGCCCTCAAACTTAAACCCCAACACCTAACTCCTCAACCCTACAACCCCAAACCTGTAAACCTGGTTGTGAACGTGGACGCCTCCCATTTGAAGCTGCGGGGCGCTCTGTCCGGATACAACTCGTAGCAGTAGCCAACCGTCATGGTGTAGACCCTTCAGACGTAGGACTTAAAGGTTTAAGGGTTTAATGTTTAAGCTTTACGGTTTATGGTTTAAAATTCAGGCTTACCTAGAGTAATCTACATACCTCAGGGAAAAGATGCTGTCTAGCCAGTAGTTTGGTATCCTTACCTTTTGCGGTTATAAGGTTGGGTTCACGGCAAAGTGTAACCCTAGTGTTGATACATCCCAGATAAAATCTTGCATGACCTCAGTATATCAGCACCATATTCCCAAAATGTACGGTACTTAGGCTTCTGCGGAATCTATGGCATGCACTCTAGTATTGCTCATGGCTTCGTAGGCACCTTCCGCCCCTCAGCACCTTGTAGCAACAGGATTGGGCATATGGATGCATATGGCTTGTCACTTGTGCTAGCACACACAGATTTGTTGAAGGATAAATTTTCCGGGTTTTCAAAGCTCCCGAAATGGCTTACGCAAGGCCCACGCCACGCGTTTTTTGTTTTGGGTTTAGGGGTATGAAGCGCAATCAAAAGCTGCAGCCTCGCTTTGTGGACCCTGGGGCTACCAATAGCTTAGATAAACTACTTGTAAAGGCCTGCAGCCCGGTTATCAGTTGGTTATTACGTACACATAATAAATCACCTAATTCCAGGGTCCCCCCCAGCAGTGTGCTCAGGGTCTACAGCTTCCCCTCACCTGAAACCATCATCTCAAAACCGCAAGCACAAAACATATTAGGTTTTAGGGCTTTGGGCTTAGGGTTTAGAATCTAAATCCCAAGACCTAAGCCCTTAACCTGAAGTTCGAAAACCTTAAACCTCAACCCTTAACCATAAACTCGAAACTCTACACTGCGGGAAATTGGGGAGCATCGGAATTCGTAGGGTATCTACCCCTTGAACCAACCCCTCTTGAGGACCTGGTTGTTAGATTATAGTATCAAAACAAGATTTGGGGTTTAGGGTTAGGTTTTAGAGTTTAGGGACTCAAATCTGTAATGTAAGCTTGAACCATCACCAATGCTATTCCCGCATTATCCTCATGCAAGCCTGATACAACTCACCCCAGAACCCTACACTCAAATCCCTTAGGCATGTTTGGGCTCCACGTTACATGCTGGAGTAGCTTTTTGGGCTGACGCCCTTCAGAACCGCAGCGCCCCGAACACCCTCCATTAAGCGTTCCCCAGATATCTAGGTATGTATGTATATATATATATATGTATAGATATAGATATAAACGTAGATATATATATATATATACAGCCATCTATATATGAGTGAGGAAAGTGTATATATATATATATGCATATAGAAGGAGATAAGCTCGCTCATGAGAAATATTGCTGATGTTAGGGGGAGGTGTTGCATTGAAAAGGGGCTCACATGTTTCAGCCAAGGAGTTGCGCAGTATGGAGCTGTAAACCTGAAACTGCGAAAACAGGGTGCAGAGTGCTTTACATGTCTTGTTAGAAAAATGATCCATACATCAACTCTTAATCTCCAGAGTCTACTCTCTCCTGACCCAGACTGGGCGCCAAGCAGCGGCCCAACGTGTAACAGTCATGTTTCTACGAAGATTGGATACGCCCTCAGTATACAGGCCCCTTTCCTACAAGCCCAGAAAAAAACCTGAGACGTGATCATCATCAGCTGCATGGCTCCTCGCAACAAAGTGCCGACTGCTAAACCCCAACACACAAAGCAAGCCAGTGCTCGATCGCAGCAGAATCAGCT